CTTGCTCTGGAGCGTTCGAAACCTTAGGTAACAGCTGGATTGTCCCGTATTCGCCCATTCTATGTAAAATGTTTAATGTCCACATTAATGTAGAAGAATATAGCTCTGTCATCATGTAGAGCGCAATCAAGTATATCTGTAAGTACATAAATAAAGGAAGCGACCAAACAATATTTAATCTCAGGAGTGAAGGTGAGGCAAATCCCGTTAATGAAGTACAGACCTTTCAAGCAGGGCGTTATGTCAGCAGTAACGAGGCAGCGTGGCGTCTCCTTGGCTTCCCTTTACACGAAAAGCACCCAACAGTTACTCACCTTGCTGTGCACTTAGAAAATGGAGAGCGCGTGTATATTTCACTGAAAGAAATTTCGAAGAAAGAATTGCATCACCACCAAAAATTACACCAAAAGCCTTCTTTAAACTTATTCAAACCGACCCCTTTGCAAAACCGTTGTTATATTCTGAAGTCCCCTGCTATTATACTTGGAACACATCCAGGAAGGAGTGGAAACGACGTATTCAAGGCGCGCCTGTTGCAAATTGGCCCGGTGTAAAGTCATCAGATGCCCTTGGTCGTGTGTATACCGTCCATGTAACTAATTTTGAATGTTTCTGTTTACGATTCCTGCTGCACCATGTTCGGGGTCCTACAGGATATAAAGACCTTAAAACTGTCAACGGTCAGGAATGCGCAACTTATAGAGAAGCATGTGAAGCTCTGCATCTTTTAGAAAACGATAATCACTGGGATGAAACCATCGAGGAAGCTGTGCAGTGCCAGTCACCAGCCAAAATTAGGGATCTTTATGCAACTCTCATATTATCTTGCGGACTATCTAATGCACATGAATTGTGGGACAAATATAAAGAGTACATAGCGGAAGATATTTTGCGAAGGTTAAAGCAGACACACGCGAACATGACATACAATGAACACATTTATAATGAAGCACTTGGAAAAATTGAAGATAAAGTAATGGCAATGGTAGGCAAAAAATTAAGCGACTTTGGAATGATAAGCCCTCAGCGAACAACCGAAAATGAACTAAGTGATAAAATTATACGTGAAACAAACTACGATATACCAGCTTTGCAGCAGCAAGTACCTGAATTTGTACCCCGCTTGCTTCCCAAACAAAAACGAGTTTTAGACAAAGTATTAGGACAAATTGAATCTGGAAATGGTGCACTTTTCTTTTCAGATGCCCCTGGAGGAACTGGGAAGACATTTTTGTTAAATTTATTATTAGCGCAAGTACGGAAAGATAAAAACATTGCTGTGGCCGTAGCTTCCTCCGGTATAGCCGCCACGCTGCTAAGCGGGGGCCGCACTGCACATTCTGTTTTAAAACTCCCTCTAAATCTAGCCCAGAAAGAATCGCCGATCTGCAACTTTAGCAAAAATTGTGCACGAGGTATAATGCTACGGCAATGCAAACTTTTAGTGTGGGACGAAAGTACAATGTCGCATAAAAAAGCTGTAGAAGAACTAAATCGAACGCTCCAGGATTTACGCAGCAATACCGATGTAATGGGAGGAATGGTGGTTTTACTGGCTGGTGACTTTCGCCAAACTTTACCTGTCATTCAAAAGGGCACACCTGCAGATGAAATTAAAGCATGCCTCAAGTCGTCTATTTTATGGAACAAGGTGACAAAATTTAGTTTAACTACGAATATGAGAGTGCATTTGTATAATGATATCAATGCTGGAAACTATGCTGACACACTATTAAAAATTGGCGATGGGCGGTTGGAAACGGATGTTGAGGGCTGCGTTAAATTGACGAGAGATTTTTGTAATTTAGTACAGAGTCATTCCGAATTAATAGCGAACGTTTATTCAGATTTAACGAACAACATGCATGAAGACAAATGGTTATGTGAAAGGGCGATTCTTGCACCAAAAAATGAGAGCGTTAACAAAATAAATTCAGATATATTAAGCGAAGTAGCAGGAGAAATAACAAAGTATTTATCAGTAGACACAGTTATGGACACAGAACAGAGCACTTTATATCCCGTAGAGTTTCTAAATTCTCTAGAGTTGTCAGATGTGCCCTCACATAAGCTTCAATTAAAATTAGGCGTCCCAGTTATGCTATTGCGAAATTTAGATGCTCCTCGGTTATGTAACGGGACAAGGCTGCATGTGACACATCTTGGACGGAACATAATCGGTGCTACAATTTTGACAGGCGTACGAAAAGGTGATAGTGTTATTAAACCACGGATCCGTATAATTCCCACAGATCTTCCTTTTCAATTCAAAAGGTTGCAGTTCCCTATTAAGCTCAGTTTTCAATGACAATAATAAAGCGAGGGCAAACGTTACAGGTAGCGGGGGTCAACTTAGAAAAACTGTGCTTCTATCATGGTCAACTGTATGTAACATTTTCGCGTGTGTCAAATGCCCAGAATCTCCACATTCTTTTCACGAATGGAAAAACATATAACATTGTGTACAGTAGCGTCTTAAAATGGTGTTCAGTTAGTTTTTCTTCCGAAATTACCACAATCAATAAATCAAATGCTGCACCTCTGACGGACCTATTAAGCTCAGTTTCCTTTCAACTCAAAAGGCTGCATCTATAACGGATCTTTTATTTGGCTCAGTTTCCTTTCACTTCAGAAAACTGCATCTCTGACGAATCAATTTAGCTCAGTTTCTTTTCAAAAGTGTGCATCCCTGACGGATAATTATGCTCAGTTTCCTTTAATTAAAAATATCCCATTTCCATTTAGAACAAACAGGCTACATTCATGCTTTCCTATACGCTGCGTTTCAAAATATTTAAATAGGCTGACGAATCAATTTTGCTCAGTTTCCTTTTAAGCATCCCTGACAAATCTACAAAACTTAGTTTTCTTTCAATTCAACGAGCAATGGATAGTTCATTTCCCAGTGACCATGCGGGCGAAGCCGCTGGTAACAGCTAGTTAATTTAAATAATACTAGATTTTACGGATTTTATCGGGTATATTTAACATTTTAAATACCCGACGTTTCGAGCGCTTTACAGCACCCATGATCATGAAATCCGTATGGCGATAAAATCCGTAAAAACTAGTATTATTTAAATGCGTAGTGTTCGCGTAAATATAAGAAATCATTATCTTTTAATTTGCACAACAATTGTTCTCAGAGTAAAAGTTTTACCAGATCCTGCTCCTTTTCTTGTTAATAATTTCATTGTATCATCCAGTGGCTCTTGGTTTCGTAGCTTTTAGTAACGTAGGACCTCTAAAATTCTAAAATAAAAAACAGATTTAAAATTTAAAACAGATGTTATGATATTAGTTTAAAACAGATGTTATGATATTAGTTGAGAAATTGCGTGATAAGAGATGAATGTGGTATGCAAGATGATGTTGTGACCAGGATTAAGAAAGGAATGCTTCGGTGGTTTGGTCACGTAGAAAGAATGAATGAGGAAAGAGTGACAAAGCAAATTTATTTGGCAGATGTGAACGGCAGAGTCGGGAAGGGACGACTTAGAAAAAAAGTTTATCGACCAAATTGGCGATATTTTGAAAATGGGCCACGTTAAAAGTACCCTTAACCGACGAGCATGTATGCGTAGATATATGGATGTAAAGGAAGCGAAAGAGGTATGTCAGGATCATACCCAATGGAAGTCCGTAGTCTCTGCCTACCCCTCTGGGTGACAGACGTCAGTGTTTATGTATTTATTTATATGTATGTATGTTATGATATTAACTCGCCAGGGGATTTGAAAAATCTCACGACAGATATAAAGGTTATAATCGAAAAAGGATTAAATAAAATCTTTAAAGAACCCTTGATTAAAAGGAAATAGGTCACGAAAGATAAAATAAACAAGTGTTATAAAAAGGGTTGATTTGTCGCGAGGTCTAGTCATAATAAACAACTAGCTATGACTTTCCTTAGTCCTTACTACTTTTTTGTACCTGTTTGGTAGAAGAGAAGAAAACGCGGTGTCGCTCGGGCCAAGCGAACCTTTTCCGTTTTTTTATTTAGGGAAAATATATCGCAACGACAAATACAGCAATAAAATCAAACAAAGGTACTACACATATTCACCTACCTATTAGTGAATATAATTACAAACCTAAAAAAAATCCGTATTATTTAGATATTAAAACAAAACCAAGATATTTCACTTTCTCCGCTCAGAATTCGCTCTATTGTGAGAAGTCAGAATGAGTTCAAAATTTTGATAGTCCTACCTTAATGTATGGTTGTGAAAGTTGTAAGTAGGAGATTAAGAACGAGAGTAGAATAAACGCTGCAGGTGACGCGGAATGACAGGCTAAGAAAATGTGTGATGAGGGGAAAGTGTGGTTTGCTAGATGAAGTTATGACCACGATTAAGAAAGAAATGCTTCCATAGTTTGGTGATGTAGAAAAAATGAATAAGAAAATAGTGAATAATCAAATGAATGCTGCAGCAGTGAGTGGCCAAATAGTTATAATATAAAATAATTATAATAAAAAAGTTTACTGACCAGATCGGAGATATAGAAACAGAAACTTTTTTATTCAATATAGACTATAAGTAATACCTATTGAAAGTTAGTTTTTTTTTATTTGCCACTGGTTCGGAAAAATCCTCGGTCCTGGGAAGAACCTGAAAGAAACCCAGCGGGACTTTGTTTAAAAGAAATAACAGCCTTACAATCATGTATCCTGCTATACATAAAACAACACAAAACAAATTTGAAATAGCTTGGTAGCGGTCACTTTCCCGGGGGTTATTATCATCCACAAATTCCTGAATATTATAATAACCCTTTTTATGCAAACTTAATTTAATAGAGTTTTTGAACTATGTATAGGTAATATTTTGTATATTTCTGTACTGAAAACAAGCCAAATTATAGGTAAAACTCCCTTCCCAATCCAAATAAAAACCGTCATTAGGAAGTATAAAAGAATATTTTATACTTCTTTTTCGTGTTTTCTTTTTTTCTCTTTCTTTCTTCTTTATTTCTACACTTTCACAATTTCCCGTTAGTACGAAACTTGCGGACGGCGAAATCCTTCTGGCTTCGACACCCGCATCATGTCTGACTCCGATGAGACGCACTTCGGTGAATTTCCTTGGATGATCGGTGTGCTCCAGTAAGTGTCACAAATTATATATCAACTGTCAGGTCTAGGGTTGCCATCATTTTACCCGGCTACCCTAGAAGCAGGGTAATGTTTTTCTGGTATATGTAAGTATGTATATCTATTTCTTTGGAATGAGTTATTAAAAAAAACTGTGATTGCATATCCGCCTGCTAAGACTGACAGCTGTGGAAAATACCCCTGAAGCAATCTATGCGGGGGCACGTGTTGAACTGCTGCTTAACTTTTAGAGGCTATAATGAATGAATGGACGAATGAGTCACTTTAGTCTGAAAGTTTTACTTGACCACAAAACGAAATAACCTAATAAATAATTCCTCTTCTCTACCCCTTGGACAGTTGCTTGCTATATGGGGCCCAGCACAGCGGACCCACTTTAATGACCGGAAGCAGTTGGCAGATGCGAGGCCAAAGGCCCGGCAGCGGTGGCATTGTGCCGGACCCGCTCGTCCTTGCCAGGCCTCTAAGACTACTACAACCACCGACCGTGATAAAAAAGATACATAATTTCTCCTCCCAACCCCTTGGGCACTTGCTATATGGTCCCCGGCACAGCGAACACACTTTACTGCCCTAAAGCAGTTGGCAGATGCATGGCCAAAGGCCTGGCAGCGGTGGCATTGTGCCGGACCCGCTCTTCCTTGCCAGGCCCCTAAGACTACTCCAACCGAAGTTCGGTCAACCAGACCGAATTTCGGTCACGGCAACCAGTCTCAACGGGACAGGACTCAGAACATGATTATAATGCCGTGTATCGCAAGCACAGGTGCACTCTCTATTTCCTCACTCTCATAGTCCGATTGAACGGTAATCCTACACGACAAGAGAGAAATCAGGCTTAGGACCAACGGCTTAACGAGCTCTTAAGGCACGGGGGTGAAACACCGCCTACGTCCTTACTCCGGTCTGCAGAGGACTACTTGACAGAAAACCCTAATCATTGATTTTGGTCCAGCCTGGGATCCAAACCCAAGACCCCATGATCAGCAACTGCGTTTACGACCACTACACCAACCAGGCAGTTTCTGCCTCTCTCTCTCTCTCTCTCTCCCTCTCGTTCTCTCGCTTTTTAGCAGATATCTAAAAGGAGATTTTGAATTCGAGTGCGTGTTTATTAAGAGACCATAAAGAACAGAAACGATTACAGCCTATCATAGTCCACAACTGAACATAGCCCCCCCCCCCCACAGATTGCCACTGTTGCCACACTTTCCAAGCGGGTTGGCAACCGCAGTTTTTACTTTTTATTTTAAGTCGTTATTAGGAAGACGCTGCTGTTCACCTCCTGATTAGTTTCCCTCTGTCGCTTCTTAGCTTCTTACGACACCCCCGGAACGATATCGGGTAGTGGAATTCCACATATTACCTTCTGAAGTCGTGACCTGAATTTTTATACATTGTGTCTTGACAGCAAGTTCAGTATGTGATATTATTTTATTATTTTTAGTTCTTTGCACGGCATTTATTTTAATTACAACTTTAATTTTTTTTATGATTCAATGTATGGCTACAAGAAGTTGAGTTTCACGATTTAATTTAATTTTACCTATACTCTTTTTAAAAAAAGCTGCTTTAATGCAATTTATCCATAGAATAAGGGTGACAAACGTACATACACTCCACCTTACAAATAAATAAATAAAAAATAAATAAATAAAAACCTGATGGTAAAGTGGATGCTGCGGCAAATAGACCGCACATAGAAATTTATTCTCAATTAAGAATTAAAAGTCGTAGTCACCTGCTGTAATATTAGTAGTATAGTTATAGCACGAATGGGGCCGGCTTGACCGGGGAAGGACCACGCTCTCACAGAATACCAGCGTAAAATAGTAGCTAAACGCTGTTGGGTTTCATATGGTGAGTGTAGAGAACCGGAGACCCGTTTTACTGGAAACAAGGCATTCCATCTTAGTCCTCACGGGTGACAACACATCAGCATTTTGATTCGTAATCGAGGATAGATGTAGATTTCTATGGGCCACAGCAACCACTTACCATCAGGTGGACTGTGTGCTCGTTTGTCACCCAGTCCTATAAAAAATACAGGGACTCCGGTTCTCTACACTCACCTAACGAAACACAGTAGCATTAAGATATACTAAGCTTTAAGCTATACGTATTCCGTAAGAGCGTGGTCTTACTATTCGAACTACAAATACAATATAGCTGTAGCATCACCACGTAAAAATTGTATATTAAAATATAAATTGAATCAAAAATGACCTACACTACAATTGACGGATTTTATATTAAAAATTATAATCAGGGCTATACCCTATGACGAGAGTGAACCAAACGGCAAGAAAATATTGGCGTACACCTGCGGAGGTTCCCTCATACACCCTCGTGTAGTGATGACCACCGCTCATCATATTGACAAGAACATGACCCTCAAGATCCGGGCTGGCGAATGGGACATAAGCAGTAAGACGGAACTTTATCCACACCAAGACAGAAACGTCGATAAAGTTATCATTCATGAAATGTACAACAACACTAGAGGCAAGTCGCTTAAGTATTTATACCCGTTTCCTATATCTAAAAAACGGTTCGTTCTCCATTACTCAGTGATAAATCAGTACTTAAAATGCAAGTAATAAAATCATTGGTAGTGTCAAGTTTACGGCGAGCACTTAGTACGGCGACTCTGAGTCGTGTAGTTAAGAAAACTTATTCATTTTTGTAACAACTAAACAGTGGGTAGTTTAAATTAATAAAATAAAATCCAATCTGTTTATTTTGTGAAAATAGCTTAATGAAGGCAAACAAAAAGGTTAAAACCTCTTACGAATTAACTCTATCGAGCACACTATCTGACGTAGAGAGTCCTTCTCTGTCATTATGTTAGAAATTTCTCTTATATCGTAGATTTTGTTCTTATTACTATTCGCCAATGAAGACGGGTAAAGGTTTTATACCATACAGCCTTCTCTGATTTGTATTTTGTTCACAAAATTTCTTACGTCATGCATCATATTGCAAAGTGTGTGTTGGCAAGCGGTTTGGCAACTGCAGTTTGTTTTAATTTTTAGACGCTATTACGACTATTAGGAAGACGCTGGTGCCCATCTCGTGATTTCCTTCCGTTTGTCGCCTCTTGCGACACGGATGATATGGGGTAGTGGATATTCTTATCCCGCCACTACACAGCTACACATATTACATTCTGAAGTCGTGACTTTGTTTTTTAAACTAAATCTTGTATGGAGTAGTTGACTTACACGGTGACTGCTCGCTAAACAAATACCTAGACCTATCTTCGAAGGCTTACCAGTTTTCTACAAACACCATGGCATTATGACACTATTTAACGCTGGTTTACTGTGCGAGCGTAGTCCTTGCGGGGTCGAGCCACCCGTTCTTACTACAGCTGTAACATAGCTTTAGCGTCAAAGGTGAGACCCATGGGCCCCGGCCCCTAGAAATTAGTAGTAAAGATGGAGCTGTATAACTCTGTGATTGTGTGTTGTCTCTGTTTATTAAAAGTTATTCTTTTTGATAAAAACTTTCTGAGCCTCTCTTCCGCTTTTTGCCAATGGAATCCTTGATCCCTTGTTCAGCGTGACATTACCTCATAAAATTAGAATTGTTCTGCAGGGAATTTGCATTACGATATTGCACTACTAATTCTGGACAAACCGGTGAAACTTCAACCTCACATCAGTACGATCTGCTTGCCACCACCAATGATGAGACCGCCGGCTGGGACTCGATGCTTGTCCTCTGGATGGGGGAAGAAGAAGTTTGGTCAAGGAGAGAAGCTGCAATTTATTCTAAAAAAGGTGATTTACTGTTCTATTAATTCTTATTAGAGTGGATTCAGCAGCCCATAGACATTTAAATTTAACCTCAAATTAGGAACCAAAACCACCCATGAGGACTGAAATGGAATGACTCATTTCCAGTAAAAAGGATCTTCGATTCTCTACACTCACCATACGAAACACGGCAGCATTAAGCTGCTATTATGCGCTGATAATCTATAACAGCGGCTCCCCCGGTCATGCCAACCTATTCGTACAGCAACTATAATTCAACTCCAGGGTGACTCTACCACGATAAGTTTTAGTAAAATTTTAATAAAAGCATTAATTTAGTCTATGTGATTTTCCCCACAGGTAGAACTGCCAGTAGTGGACCGGAAAATATGTCAAGATATATTCCGTACTACTCGCCTTGGGCCATTCTTTAATTTGCATCAGAGTTTCATGTGTGCTGGTGGGGAGTTCGGGAGAGACACGTGCAAAGGCGACGGAGGCTCACCACTTGCCTGCCCCGTACCGGTTAGTAATGAAAATCATAACCATACGCTCCTTCAGATTCTACATCGTGACCATCAGCCAGCGAGGGTCCTCTGGACATGAGCCTCTCCCGGTGAAGCGAGGAATTCCCATAATGGTCACTTGGCAGACAAGACATTAATTAACACGTACATATCTAATGATTTCGTAGATTTATGCAAACACTACACTGTCGGAGAAACAAAAAAAATATTTCGAAGACATGTGAAGTAAGTCAACACGCATTGAGCTAGCGCGGTGGACATTACCTTGCCCTACAACCCTCTCAGAAATATGAGGAGGCCGGTGCCCAGCAGTGGGACGTATATGGGCTGTAAATTTTTTTATAGAATAAAGTGACAAACGAGCACATAGTTCACCTGATGGCAAGTGGATGCTATGGCCCATAGATATCGAATTTTATCTTTTTAACTTTAACTACATATAACAGAATTTATCGCGTTATATTAAAACCCTTCACAAGTCCACTGCTGAACATAGGCCTCCCCAAAGGAATGCCCAATAAAGCAAAGCGAAGCACGGTCCTGAGTCATCTGCATCTATCGACATCCCGCATGTCTTACCAGGTCGTCACTCCATCTAGGGGGTCGCCCTACACTACGCCTACTGGTACGAGGCTGCCACTCGAGAACCTTTCTTCCCCATCAGTTATCGGTTCTTCGAGCTATGTGGCCGGCCCATTGCCACTTCAGCTTACTAATTCGTTGGACTATGTCGGTCATTCTGGTTCTACTGCGGATATCCTCATTTTTAAGTCTATCACGCAGAGAAACCCCGAGCGTCCTTATATGGCCAGCAGTGAGGGAACACGTCTCAGTTCTACAGGTCATCACTGGCAACACGCACTGGTTGTAAAATCTAGTTTTGACGTTTTGAAGTATGCCTGACGAGAAGCCGTGTTGAATCCGTCGATTGACCTCTCGGTCAAAGTTGGACTTATCTAGTTGGACTACTTGTTTCAGGTAAACATACTCGTCAACAACTTCGAGCATAGTGCTCCCAACAACCACCGGAATATGTGTGAGATGGATATTACACGTGACTATGGTTTTGTCCTTGTTCATCTTTAGACCTATCCGTTGAGAGACACTATTGAGGTCATTGGGCATAGTGCTTAGGTCCTCCAGCGATTCTGCCATAAAAATTACATTGTCAACAAATCAAAGGTAAGTGATGTAATCGCCACCGATGTTAGTACCGTCCTTTCCAGTTCAGTAACTTGAAAACGTCTTCCAATGCAGCGGTGAAGAGTTTCGGGATATAAAGTCATCCTGTATTACACCTCTCTGCAGTTGGATAGGTTTCGTACTCTGGTTCTGTATATCTGGATAGCCAACGTAGCCCTTCTGTACAAACACTTCAGCACTACGATATACAGACAGTCAACTTGGCACTGCTGAAGGGACTGTAGCACCACCCAAATTTCGACGGAATCAAAGGCTGCGGCTCAAAAGGTTTTTACCAAAAAGAATAACTTTTAATAAAAACACAGAGTTATACAGTCTACATACGCAAGACCAAGTGGCAGATTGGACTCTTCGGTCTTCTATACAATCTGCCGCGGGGTCTGTATGTGGTCTATGGTGTTGAAGCCTGACTGAAGTCTCATTCGGGAGGCTGGAAGTCGTCGAGTCTGCGTGTGGTATGATCTGTCATGACTCTCAAAAACAGCACGTAAGCGCAGCTAAGAAGGGAAATCGGTCTGTAGTTTTTCAAATGAGCGTTATCGCCTTTTATAAAGAACAAGACCACCGCACTTCTGCTTCACGCCTCCGGAGTAGTGCCAACATGGAGGACGGAATTGAAGAGCTTCTGAAGAACTTTAAGTACCGGTGTTCCACCCGCTTTCAGAAGCTCCGCTGTAATTCCATCCTTGTCTGAGGCCTTTCTGGAGAGCTATTCTAATCTCGCTCAGACTGGTGACGTCTGTGATATCATCGGAATAGTGTCGGATAAGACTTGCTGTGTTGTTTTCTTAACGCTACAACAGTATACCATGATGTATACAACTGCCCGTAGAACCTTTCAATCTCACTCAAAATCTCAAGTGTCCCGGAAACGATGCTGCCACACTCAGTCTTCAGCTTTGATAGTTGGATCTTTCTGGCAGACAGATCTCTGGCAAAGACTTTGGAGCCCTGGTTCCGCCCGGTCGCTTTTTCAATACGAGCAGTATTAAAGTTGCGCAGCTAAACGCCGCATGCATTTGGAGATCAGTTTATTCAGTTGCCTGTATGCTATCAAATCAGTTTAAGACTGCGTCTTCATTTCCCATCTAACAGCCATGAGATTAAGAGTGTGATCGGAAGATTTTTGTGTTCTTCTGCAGTGAGTCTTGCAGAACTTAGCTCCGGCCGAATGGACAGTTCCCACGAGCTTGTCATTCATATCGTCCACTGCATTGCAGTCTTCTAAGCACTGCAAACGATTTTGTAACTCGAGCTGAAAGGTTTCGGGATTCTGGATTAGTCCTTCAGCGAATAGCGTTTGCTGATTCTGAGTATAAGATACGCATCCCTCGTCGACACACTCCCAATCTTTACAACGTTATCAACGAGAGACTTGTAGACGATAAATCCAACACCTTCTTGGGACCTTCCCGGTGATAGAACAAATTCAAATTCATTTATTCGTTTGTATATATGGTTTACAAAAGGTCTTAACAATTTACCAAAAATACAGCCATATTCTTCCAATTAAATTATAAAATGACTCTGAATCTCTGAATGTCAAATAAAGTTTTGCGGTTATATTCAACAAATTTTATATTTCAAATTTAGAACTTGTCAGACAAATAATCATCAATACTACAATACATTTTTTTTGGTTAAAAATGTGTTTAATTGATTCTTAAAAATGTGAAGGCTCTTAGATTTTTTTTTAATATATTTTAGTAAATGGTTATACAGTCGAGGTCTCATGCAGGATACGCTTTTCTTAAACAAAACAGTTTTACTATTGGGATGGCTCAAGTTATCTTTATGACGCGTGACATTTTTTGTGCTTGACAAGTTTTGACGTACAAATAATACTACTTCATATATATACAGACATGGCATTGTAAATAATTTTAATAATAATAATAATAATAGTCTTTATTTGCATAAAACATGGTTAATTATACAAATGTTTCAGAGTCTTATTATGCCCACATGTTTTGCTATTTTAATATAATATAGCATGCAAATTACATTTAAATCAAGATAACCTATATAGTATTAAAATTAACAAATTAAACATGTTTATTTAAATTATAATTATGTTTTAATATGTCAAAATCTAGTTTAAAATGTCAGAAATTCATTAGTGTCATAAATATTTTTGTCAATTAACCAATGGTACAATCTTTTTTTTAAATACGTTCATATTATGTAGTGTTTTAATTTCATCAGGTATTTTGTTGTATATACGTACACACATTGATAAACAGCATTTACTATATTTAGCTGACTTCGGAACTTCGCTTAGAACTAATCTATTTGGATTTCTTTTAAGCCTAGGATTAATATCAGATGACTTTTTAAATAAATATGTATGCTGTTTTACAAATTTACCTATCTCAAAAATATATAACGAGGGCATAGTTAGTAAAAACAGATTTTTGAATATTGGCTTACAGGATTCTCTAGTTGGTATACCACATATCGTCCTTATACACTTCTTTTGTGCGATAAATGCCCTACGCCAATCTATGCTATTGCCCCACATTATTATACCATATCGAAGTATAGATTCAAATAATCTAATAAAGTATGGCTTACAAGTCCCACTCTGGTTAATTTTACAAATGGCTCGTAAGCATTTCTTCTGAGCTTTAAATACTGTTTCTCTGTCGGCACAATTACCACAGAACAAGGCATGGTATACCATGGACATAACAGAACAAGGCATGGTATACCATGGTCATAACATAGGCGTGGTATGATGCTATTACGGCGGATGTATCCACAAATTTTCCAGGCATATAATGCATAGGAAAAACGATTTAACTTAGTACACACACTGCTCACTTGAGACTGCCAGTTAAAATTACAATCTACATTTATACCCAAAAATTTAATATTTTCTATGTTATTGATTTTTTGTCCTAGATAGTAAATATTTAAATTATTTAATTTATTACATTATTGATAAAATGTCATTAGTTTCGTTTTTTCTAAATTTATGTTTAGATTATTTATCTTTAACCAATTCACGAATTTCTCTAAAGCACAATTTATGTTACTTTCTAAATCTATTTTATTGTTACTTGTGAAAATAACTGTGCTATCGTTGACAAATAATACCATTTCGTGATTAATGACAGTGGGTAGATTATTATATATTGTTATAAATAAGAAATAACAATGTTACCGGAAATGTTAAAAAGTTGCAGGATTCGAGAATCATCGTGTACTCCCCTCTATTCGGATCTCGGATAATCCTATAATATTCCAGAGCAACTTGTCTAATACTATAGCTCCAGGATCATCTCGTCAGTCCTCAAGGTGCATGCATTGTACATTGTACAATGGCAACCGAAACTCCACCGGAGACTTTTTGCACCCCCTGCCCCGCCGCTACCATGGTCACCACCGTAGCCAGGAATAACAGAACCCTCGGCGACTGGGGGCAGTTTATTTGAGTCGTTGCTCAAGGTCATACCCCACATTGCCATAGTTGCTACGCATGGCGAGCGGGTGGGCAACCGCAGTTTTTTTGTTGTACAGTTGCTGTTATCGGGAAGATGCTACTGCCCATCTCCTGCCAGTTTCCCTCTGTTGCCTTTTACAACACCCACGGTAAGATATTGGATAGAGGATATTCTTAACCGCCACTACACGGGATATCGCTTTTAATTTTAACTACTTACTCCCGACGTTTCGAGTGCATTATAGCACCAATGTTCACGAGGTGGTATTCACGTCCCGATGTCATACTTAACTAGAATACCTTCAGTTTATGAAGATTAATTTTTGTTCAATCTACGCAGAACGAGCTCACAGTATCTTGAAAACTTGCAGTGGTTGGATTTGAAATCAAAAATTAATTATTAAAAACAGAGTGCAACTCGCCTAGCTCTTTCACAACTGTTTCATTTAACTTACATACCTACAACATCCTTATAAAATAATCGTAAAAAACATACCACCTATAAAGACAATACAAGCAAAAATGCCTATCCTGTCTATTAAATCAGCCTCTCCACGTAGTGGTCCTCTACAAATTAACTTCAGCAAAAAAAAAACGCGGATCACTACCACCTCCAGAGCGAATTTCGGTCACGGCGGCAAGTCTCAACGGAAACTAGCCATCGGCGCAGGACAGGATTATAGTGCCCAAGCACAGGTGCACTCTCTAATCCCTTTGTCATCAAAATCGGTCACATTAACATACGTAACATCCTTTTTTTAATTAGCCAACTTATTGTTTTTTGGAGTACTTTGATTGCTTCAATAATTACCATTATGCCGAAAATATTGCAGCATTAATTTCGAAATAAATATGTGGTAAAGTTAAGGATTAATGAAAAAAAACTATGTAAGACGAAAACACGATTCCGTAAAATTATCTTTACCAAAGTTACCTCCAAACTGAACAATAAACCGCTGATATTCATAAAATACTTTAAATTAGATCATGAAACTTTGCATACTAACTGAACTAAATATAATGCAGGGCTTATGTTTTTTCATTTTTTAAAATTACCACTATTTTCACTGTAAAAAGAAATTACGTAAACTATCGGCGTCATTAGACCTTAGTCTCCTAGTCTGATGGAGTTGTAATTCGACACGACCGGAGAGAGATCAGGTGCAGAACTTTACCTGCTTTCCGAGATACGAAGGTAAAAACACCACCATGAGGTGCAGAACGGGATTAACGTGCCCAAGTGTATGCGCAAGCACAGGTGCACTCTCTATTCCCTCACTTTCGTAGTCCGATGGGGCAGTCATCCGACATGAGCGGAGAGAGATCAGGTGCAGAACCAACGTCTTTATGTGCTTTTCGAGGCACTGGGGTAAGAATCTGCCAACTTCTAGACTCCGGGCAGCTACTGAGAATTTTTCAACGGAAATACTCAATAAAATGATTTTTTGTCGGAGCTGAGACTCGAACCCAGGACTTATGATTAGCTGTGGCCTTTACATCTACTAGACCAACGAGGCACTCAAAAATAGCAATGCTAAATCCCTTTGCACATCTAGTTTATTGAATCCAACCATGTTTTAAGATCTAATTTGTACTGCCCATTCTCAGTTTCAGGACAACCGTTACATGGTGAATGGCATGGTGGCTTGGGGCCTGGGCTGCGGGAACCCTTACCCAGCAGTGTATGTGGACGTGGGCTTCCTGCGCGACTGGATCGATGTGAAGATGAAAGCAGAAGGTTTCGAAACTGACACTTATACGTATTGAAAATATAAAAAATAAATGACAATTTGTGCGTTTTATTTGAGTAATCTGTTTATATAACACACGCTAGAAGGCACAGCTGGGTAACACAGTGTCTATATTGGGTGTCTCGCTACGGGTTGCAGATTCGATTCCCATTTCTCACTCATATACAGGTTGTCCCGAAACTCAACGTCAAACGGATACGGAACGATAAGTTAGGTTGTACGAGTTCTATCAAAAATAAAAAATAAACCATATTACTTGGTTAAGTTATAATAGGTATACTTTGAAAATGTTGAAAATCAACAACCTAGATCACATATAAGTACTGTGATCACAAATTTCAAAAATTTTCAGTGTTTTTAATTTTCCAGTGGGAAGTTATTGTAATGGGTCCGATTTTACAAATTGGAAATTTTAACATATCTCCACGTTTCAAGGTCTTTAGAGTGGAATAGTATGGTTTTTAAGAGGATGTCCGTGTGTTCTAAATGTACGTATGTATGTATGTATATATGTATGTTCGGATTCAATTTTCGCGTCGTGTATCTCGAGAACAAATAGTGATATTGACATGGAACCAGTTTCATTTAACGCATAATTATGTAACTTAGACCTCATAAAATTTTGATCAAAATCGGTCAAATCGTTTTTTGTGCCGAATGAAAAATTGTAATACATACGATATTTTTTTATTCTTTCCACAGGGAAGTTAGTCGTGTGGACCTTTCGGGTCGCACCTAGACCGCTTTTTTTAATGTGGTAACGAGGTCTCAAATTCCCTCCCTCGAGCGGTCGCCCCGAATGAAAATAGGTGTCCATGAGCCACAGCAGCGACTTACCATCAGGTGGACTATGTGCCCATTTGTCACCCTTATATCTATGGAGATTTTTTTTCATGAACATGTAATTGTATAAGTAATATATGATCAAAAAAACAAACTCGTTTTTACGGAAAACAAACAAGAACAAAATTATTCTCATTGGGGGCAACCATTAGGGTACCCCGTTACCCCGTCTTGCATCTTATAAAAAGGCTATGCAGAGCCAATTTATAAAAGAAAAACAAAAAAGAAAAATCAGCCAATAATCTTAAGGAAACACAATGCCTATCTTATTATAGGTTAGTGTAAGCGTCAATCACAGCAACACTTCACCAGCTAACTTTATTTAACAAACCACAGTCATGTGTCAAACCAGAAGAAAATATCATAAACAATTTTCATTAATTTAGGTTTTTTTTTTATTTTATAGTATAAGACTTACAAACGAGCACACAGTCCACCTGACGTTAAGTGAATGCTGTGGCTCATAGACATCTACATTTATCTTCAATTAAAAAGCAAAATGCAAACTCATTTCCAGCCCTGAGGACCGAGATGGAATGCCTCGTTTCCAGTAAAAATGGTCTCCGGTTCTCTACACTCACCATACGAAACACAGCAGCATTAAGCTGCTATTTTACGCTAGTACTCTGTGAGAGCGTGGTCCTACCCCAATTGAGCTGACCCATTCGTGCTGCAACCACAATATAGCTGCAGCATGGTAGCCATCTCTACCATGCTGCAGCTATATTGCATTATGTATTTTGTGATCCTTCAATTTTTCTTTTTCCAATTATATTGCATCTTCAAAGTAGTGTTTTCTGCTCACTTATAAATTGATTGGTAGGAACATAACGCCTTAAGGCATTAAGTTCACCTTTATTATATATATTTGTACATTTTTTTGTGCAACAAAGTTTATATAAATAAATAATTCATACCGACGTGCACTCAATGTTTACACGATTGTTATTTAACTGGAATTAATAAACACTACCAAAATTTAAGGAAACTATTAATAATTACAAAAACAAATAATGAAATCAACAAAATCCTCATTCTATTAATATATAAACGTATCGGTGACTCGAAACCCACAACGAGGAAAACCAAGTGATGACGTCAAAAATTGCTCCCACAGTAACAGCATAGTACTGTGCCATCACGTTCAAGAATTAATTAGATTCTTTTAGTTATTTTTTTAATAAAACTGGTGGTTGCCCAGTTGTCGAAATTCGATCGAAAGTAATTTACTTTTTTTTTAAGTTTGTATATTATGCAAGCTGTCATTTTAAAATGCACGTCAAAACGCAGATATATATAATATATAAAATTTCATGTATTTGTAACACGTATAATATAAAGGGTTTTTTTTTTGCAATAATCACCCTCGCAAAGAAGGTTCAGAATAAGTAATATAGGCAAATGGTGAAGAAATATTATTTTAAAAAAATCTCAATAATTCTGTTCCTCAAAATGCGTAGTAATGCGTTATATTAACCGATTGTCATTCATAAATATCTAACGCCTAGTATTTACTACGTACGCACCCATTCTTAAGGGTCGATTAGTCGGCAAAAACGTGAATTGAAGTAGAGAAATAGTTGTTTACATTCAATTTAGGATAATTTCAAATATAAGAAGAAGCTTTTTACTCGTGTTTTTAAAAACAGCAATATTGATATATCATTATTTATATATTTGAATATAAATTCAATTGATATTTGGTTTCTACAAGCTCATCGAACATTTGAAATACTTGCAAGTTATCTAAGTGTTGTATATAAATTGCAAAATTTGCTCATTAGCTTTAGTTAACTATAAATGCAATGCAGCAATGAATCTGACGGCTTCCTCATATTCTTTGCTGTATCGGTCAAACTCATCGACTGTCCCCTGGAACTGATCCCTTTAAAAATATCTGCAGAATAGCTAAACAGCTGGAAATCACCATATAGTTATGTGATAATTTAAATTTTTGCTTAATTTGTAATGTAAATTTTTAAATATGTTTCTTAACATGTAAATAAATAATAATTTAATTAAATAACACGTTATATTGAAAAAAAGAAATTAATATTTAAAAAAAAGTGCGCTGGGTTTCTTGCTGATTCTTCCTTTACAGAGATTTTTTCTGAACCACTGTTAAAAGCATGAAGGATAAGTATTTTTCATATCTATATTTCATGAAAATTATGCTATGCTAATCTCTTCTATGCAGATAGCTAGTCTCCGTAGACTGATATTCAGTCTGAAGATCATTATTATCATGCGTTAAGACCGGGACTAGGGATCAAAAATATAAAATACAAATATAAAAAAAAAAGCAGATACAAAATAAAAAGCCGACCCGACGGTAAATTAATGCTGTAGCCCTTAGTTACACCTACATTTATCCTCGATTGTCAGAAACATCTATTTGATACGTTGTACGTTGTCACCCTTCAGGGCTAAGACAGAATGCTTCGTAGCTAGTAAAAAGGGTCTCCGATTCTCTACATTCACCATACAATACACAGCAGCATTAAGCTATCTCTTCACACTGGTATTCTGTGCGAGCATGGTCCTTCCTCGGTCAAGTCAACCCAGTCATAATATACTGGAGCGATCTAGGTGATGACGAAATGAAGCAAAACAGTCCTTAGGCCCTGAGGCTTAGGGTCTATACGTTAACAGCTTCTTCAAATTTGGCAATTTACACAAGGTACCATCACGAGTACATAGACTCTTGTTACTGACTAAGAGGTATTTTTTTTTTGATCCTCAGGGTAAGTAAAAAGTAAAAAAGTAAAGTTACAGCCTATATACGTCCCACTGCTGGGCTCAGGCCTCCCCTCATTTCTGAGAGGGTTTAGGGCAAGGCAGTGTCCGCCGCGCTGCCCAAATGCGTGTTGACGAACTTCACATGTCTTCGAAATATTTTTTTTCTTATTCCTCACACATGCAGGTTTCCTCACGATGTTTTCCTTCACCGGCGAGCACGTGGTAAATCAGCACTTAAAATTGCAATTAACAATTTCATTGGTGCCGGCGGGGATAGAACCCGGGTTACTCGCGTTCTGTTATATTTACAGCGAGCGTTAACCACTGAGCTACCACGGCTGCCTGTCAGGGTGAGTACGCATCAACATTTCGTTTCTGATTTTGCAATGCATTTTTATTTTTAAATCGAGGATAGATGTAGGTGTCTATGAGCCATAGAAGACACTTACCATCACGTGGACTGTGTGCCCGTATTTATAAGACTGGCCATATACGTACGGAATTCCGTATCGTGATTCCGTTTCGGAATTTTGTACGCAGCAACTCCCTATAAAATCCATGACCCGTCACACACCTACGGTAGTTTCCCGTACGGAATTTTGTGTGGAAAAAGGGGATTCCGTATGTACGTGGCCGGCCCGTACGTCCCGTTTCGGGATTAGGTTTCGGAATCGAAACGGAAATTTTCATACATTCTTTTTATACATTCTTTGTTAATTTTCATTAATTTATGTATTTTTTGGTCCTTCAATATTTTCTTTTTCAAATTATATTGCATCTCCAAAGTAGTGTTCTCTGCTTACTTATAGGTTGGCTGGTAGGAACTTAACGCCTTAACGCGTTAAGTTCGCCTTTGTACATTTTTGTGCAATAAAGTTTAAAATAATTAAACAATTCATACCGACATTCAATCAATGTTTACACGTTGATAATTTATTTGGAATTAAAAAACATTATCAAAATTTAAGAAAACTATTAATAGTTACAATAATATGTAAATATATCAACAAAATATCCATTCTATTAACATGTAAACGTATCGGTGACCCGTAACATACAATAAGAAAAACCCAGTGATGACGTCATACTGCTCCCGCAGTGACAGAGATAGTGCTGTGCCATCACGTTCAACCTTTTTATTGACTTATTTTTTTTATAAAACCAGTGGTTGCTTAGTGGTCGAAATTCGAGATCGAAAGTAATTTATATTTTTTTAAGTATGTATATACAGCAAGCTGTCATTTTCAGCAGTCAGTCTGCACGTCAAACAAAAACGGGAAATAAAGTTATGGGACAATATGTGGAAATGTGATAGTGAAAATTATCGGTTCATTGGGGGGTTTAGGTCGGGAGTACCTTAGTAAATTGCATAATTTTAAATTCGTTCGGGACCAGCTACGGTTTCCAGCTTTAAATTAATATTGAAAACTAAATTAGGAAAAGTAAAGTGAAAGTAGTGAAATTTCAGTATCACATTTTCAAGGGGTATTTACGAACAATTGCTGTTTTATTTCTCCAGTGTCTACCCAATAGGTAGTGTTCGCGACGGCCTAACAACCTTAAGAAACAAAGTTATAAAGAATATTGTTTTGTATTAATAGTGAAATTACCGATAAAACTGGCTGAAAACGTGTATTAATATAGTTGTTCAGCATGTTTATAACTCTTAGTATATTTGTATAGAATGTCGTTTTGATAACATGTAATGTAAACAACTTTTATTATATTAAGAAAAATCGACCAATCACAGCGCGTCTTATCGTAGAACTCTCTAGAAGTTTTTTAATTAACTGCGTAATAGTCCATACTAAAAATAATTAAAATAATTTTATGTTCTAAAAGAGTTATAAATATGACATTGAATTAGCATATGACTTATAGATTAAAGAAGTGTAGGAATATTTAGTATAATTAAACGCATTTGATAGTTATATAAAAATTAAAGAATTAATGTAAGTACCCAAATATTATGAAAATTTGGGACATTTCGTTTAATAACTTTTTACAATGTTAATGTTTTTAGTAACCTTTATGATATAATAATAAAGTACCAGACTACCGATTTAATAATGTATAGCATGTTAGTGTAGCAATTAGTTTTATATAGAAAATATTGCAATTTATGCCATTTGTATAGTGAAAAGTTTATGCAATAAAGAGGCAAAACGGAAAATGGCAAGCGGCTCACTATAAAGTATTGCTAAAGTCCACCTTAGGGTCTCGGGACCCAGTACCAGTAGTAGTGTGAAGAACTACCAGTGACAAGTGAAGTATCCGGTGGTAGCTGAAGTGACTAGTAGCAGTATATAGTGAATAGTGAAAGTGTTAGCTAGCCTAAAAAGGTCGTAACTGATATTCGCAGTTACATATAGTGAAAGTGTAAGCTAGCCGAAAAAGGTAGTAACTGATATTCGCAGTTACATATAGTGAAAGTGTTAGCTAGCCGAAAAAGGTCGTAACTGATATCCGCAGTTACACAAGTGATAAAATCAGCTAGTTTAGTGGATAATAGCTGCTAGTCAGTAGTGTTAGAAAACCAGCTACTACCAATAGATATTTGATACCACCGTACAATTTAAAGAAATCTTTTGAAATATACAGTGACCAACCAATAGTGAACAACCGTAGTTCAACCGTGGTCAATAGTTATAAAATTTCGCGACTAATTAATCAGTCGAACCGCTGGCCACTACCTTGCTATTTGTATTTATTAAGCGTGCATTTTGATTTGAACCTCATTCCACAATATTTCAGCGGCAACCACAAAGACGGCAGTGAAAGTACCCACCGGAACCTATAGGTGTAGGACGTGAGCGACTCGCGAAGTATCTTCGACAACATTTACTCCGGAGAGTTTCGCCCGTCCGGCACAGGTAGGGAAGTAAGAAGATATACAGTCCACTAAGTACATGACTGACGTCTGGATCGGGACCATTCCTTGGGGCTCGTAATCCTCCGTGAGCCCGTAGTCTTAGTCGTCAATCACTTTCTATTGAGTCTATTGAGAGAGTGGTTAAGGTTCTAAGTTGAACGTCTTATCAGGGGTCACGCCCACCGCGTTGCTTCCCGAACCCAATGAGGTGTGGGTGTAAAGTGGGGCAAGTATCTGGCTGGTCACTGTTAAAGGCGTGAGATGAAGAACAACACCGTCCTTTTCAATTGATGGAATTGAATCAACCTATTTTGATGCGATCACGGCAATCGACGTCGTTTTTTAAGCAGAAGAGCTGATTATATTATAAAATTGAACAAAACAAGGGTGTTGAAGAAATTCCAAGCAAAAAACTTTTGAAATTAAAAAAACTCGAATTTTTAAGACTTTCTCTGAATCTACCGTGCCGATTCGGTCTAAATTCACAGAAAATCTAAGTTCAGTGAGCATCTTTCATATGCCGAAAACCGCTTTTCGATCGGACACTCGGACCGAAACGCATCGAGAACTACACTAATATGCAATCGTGCGCTACACTTGACCAGTCTCTAGGCAGTGGTCAAACAAGATTAACACTTTGTAAATAAAACAAACTATAACATGCGTAAAATATTATAATGTGGCATTGAAAAAAAGTGCAAGTTATATTGTATTGAAGTCAGGAAGTGATTGTTCAAATATCAAAACACACGTGCAATAAAAAGGTAACTTCTTAAAACAAGCTTCGCCTTTTAACACTTAAGAGGATAAATGCAAAATTAACTCAATTTTTAAATTAATTAACTAAATGTAAGTGTTAGTAATAAATAAATTCTTACACTACATTTGAATTCAGTCGAATTAATAAATAAAATATAGTTTAACAGATTCCGGTTGTAAGAAGATCTACAACTTGAAAAATATTTAAACTCTAGGCAAACTTATACTCACTATAGCTTACCACGTAATTTAGTTTTCAATAATTAACATACGGTAAACATTTATTTATATACATAATAAAATTTAAGTGACTGTCTATAATATTGAAGTATCTGGCTTCTATTAAGCTCAAGGGAGTATTCGCATCCTATTAAGACTTATTCTTAAAATAAAATAAATTCTAAAAATCACCCAGAATTGACACTAATAAGTATTTGTTAGTGTCAATACTGGGTGATTTTTTACAGTCTAGAAAAAAATAGGGTGTAACAGGTGAACGGAATAGGAGACTGTGGCACTAATGTTACATATTATGAAATTGATCTATTAATAAATACTAATAATTGCGTATTGTTCCAATATCAAATTTCACTCCACGTTTTTTACGCTTAAGACGGACCGCTGTGTATGTTTCAAGGGATGAAGGACAGAGAGGAAACTGGGCTCATCACTCTTTTTTATAGAATAAGGTTAAAAACGAGCACACAGTCCACCTGATGGTAAGTGGATACTGTGGCTCATAGACATTTAAATTTATCCACAATTAAGAACCAAAATACAGATGCGTTGTCACCCGTGAGGACTAAGATGGAATGTCTCGTTTCCAGTAAAAACAGTCTGCGGTTCTCTACATACGCTATACGAAACACAGCAGCATTAAGCTGCTATTACACTGGTATTATGTCAGAGCGTGGTCCTTCACCGGTCAATTCATTCGTCGGTCGTTGTCTTCTGCAAGGCATAATGCCATGCAGGTCTCGGGCCTCGGGGTACACCCCTTTACCCGGATGTTCCTCAAGGCACACTACAATGTGCCGATCCTGGGCGCCTTAATGGTAAAAGGCGTGTTATTTTAGCGACTTTTGTCGCAGTCGGGTAAAATGTCATTAAGGGAGGTTATCTATATAATTGTGTTTAAACACAAATTATTTTGTCAAAGTTGGCCTTTCTGCGGCATTGTGGGGTTTACTCGACTCCCTAATCTATATAGGGAGGAGTTCTCTTGGATAGGGTCGCCCGTCCGGCGGCCGTGAGTGCAACGGCGCGAAGCCGTTGGGATGTTCATGTGGCCCGTTGTCGGCCGTCAACATACCGCGCGCCAGCCGGACCACGAATTCCTGTAGGGTCTCTATCTTAAGGTTAGGTTAGGAGCCCTGAGACAAGATGAAGCTGTAAGAGTCTCATAGACTAATAGCACTAACATCTAGATAATAGATTGGCCGCTATGACGTCGTTCCGGACGTAGCGACCCGCACCGAACTATAGTTCGTAATGACAAACTCTGCTGGGACTGAATTCGCCGCTTCTGATGATCGCTCAGGAGTGCATACCAGGCCGGAGCAGCGTATGTTAGCAGGAGTCTTATGTATGTTTTGTAGATGGTTAACTTCAACTTTGTCGGTAACTTGGATGTCAGGACAGGGCGGAGCATAGCCCGCGCACTACGAGCTTTGCGTATAGCAAAGTCGACGTGTGCAGTCATGCGCAACATCCTGTCGATCCGGCATCCAAGGTAGGTCACGGCCTTCTCATATGCTATCTCCTGGCCTCCGAGGGTTAGCGGTGGTGGTAGATTTCTATAGCGGCGAGTGAGCAGAGCGGTCGTCTTGCTAACATTGACGGCCATCCTCCACTCATCTAGCCATGATGGCAGCAGGTCCAGCAGACGTTGCATCCTGGCAGCTGCAATGTGGGCTCTTCTGAATGACGTGAAGTATGCGCTGTCATCCGCAAAAAGCGCTAGTTCGACGTCGTCCTCCCATTCGTGCAAGTGTCCTGCCAGGGTATGTATGTCATTGGTGTACGCCGCGTACAGGATTGGAGACAGACAGCTGCCCTGTGGCACACCAGCTGTTATAGGTTTTATTGCGGACTCGGCGTCCTCTACACAGACGTAGACGTTCCTGTCTACGAGGAAGGACGCCACTAGCCGCAATATAGCAGGAGGGATACTGTTCTGATCTTCTAACATCCTGTGTGCCACACCCGGTCGAACGCCTTCTTGATGTCGAGAAAGACGCCCAACGATGTGCGGCCGCGGTTGTGCTCGGCCGCAAGCAGGTGCAGCACTCTGGTCAGCTGTGTTGCTGTTGAGTGATCCCTCCTGAATTCGTGCTGCTCCGCCTGAAGTTGGATGCACGGGCGGAGACGTCTTAGCAGTAATCTTTCGCACAGTTTAGCTATACTACAGGCCGATCACGCAGCGTGATCGGCCTGTAATTGGCAGCTCTACGCCTGTCCTTCCCGGGTTTCGGCAAGACGATGACTTTGCCTTTCTTCCAGTCCTCCGGGAAGTGGGATGCCCGCAATATGCCATTGTAGAGCCGACCTATCTCTACAAGGACTCCATTGGGCAGCTGTCGCAGTGCAGCGTTAGTTAATCCCATCGTGCCCCTCGGCGCCTTCCTCGGTTGCAGGCGGGTTACTCTCCTCCGCAGTTCAGCGGGGGGAGATGAACCACTCTCCTGCAAGCGGTGGCGCGGGCGACGACAGGAGCTCCTGCACGCGGCTCTCCTTCCGGGTGTGGATTTCCAGGAACTCCGCACTTGCTGGGTTTGGCATAAACTGCTCCTCGAAGTGCTCAGCTAGGATATCCGCTCTGCCCTTGGTATCGTAACGTTGTTCGCCCGCGTTGTTGGTCAGCGGGCAAACAGGTGGTCGAGTTTTCGTTAACTGCCGGTTCAATTTGTAGAGCGACGCGTGATGTTCATCAGCCTTCCAAATGCGCCGCTCCCAGGCCTCTCCTCTGTGGGCCTGTATTGCAACCGACAGTTCGTCTGACAGGGTGTTCAATTTTCTTTTTACTCTAGGGCAGCGAGTGCGCGCCCAGAGCTTTCTCAGCGCTCTTTTGTGATTTAGCTGCACGCGTATTCTCAGCGGCAGCTCCTCTTTTCTCCCCGAGAGAGGGACGATCATAGAGGCCGCGTTGAGGGCCTCCTGGATGCTCGTGGTTATTCTAGTTGCAACGGCCTCTACGTCGTCCGCTGAGTTGATCGGTGTATGGACTGGAGGTCTCTCCTGCAGGTATTGGTAGTAGAGCCTCCAGTCGATCTTGGTCTTAACAGCTCTGGGCGGCGAAGTCACTGCCTTAGTGCCAAGGGTTATCAGAATCGGGAGGTGCTGTGTATTCAGGTCATACAGCACTTCTACCACTACTGGATAGTTGACGTTCCTAGTGAGCACGATGTCTAATACATCCGGACGCTTCCTAGGGTCAGTAGGGATGTGCGTCGGTTCCTCGGGACCTAGAATGTCATAATTATGGCTCTCTGCGTCGTCGTAAAGTTCACGACCCGGCGGGGTGGTCATACTGGACCCCCACGCCGGGTGTTTGGCGTTCAGGTCCCCGGCGATGATGGTGGGTGCCGTACCTTCCTTTACCGTCCGGATGTCTGAGGAGTATAATGGAGTCCCTGGCGGGCGGTATACTGCAAAGATCCTTAGTTCCTCGCCCGCCGCCTCCATTTTTATGCCGATTGAACGCATCGTCTGGAAGTCTGGCAGGTCCAGCTCCTGATGGACGATGTCTCTCATTCATTCGTAGTACAGCTACAGCGTGACGCTACCATGTATAAAGCATCTCTGACACTCTATTGTGGAAAGTTAAGATGTGTCAAAACACACATCTGATCTCCAGAATGTATGGTAAAAAATTGGTGTAATGGGATTAAAACTAATACTAAAGCGGACACTAAGTAGAGAGTTTTATACGTGGTAGAGCCATGCTGCAGCTATATTAATTGTATAATTGTAGCACGAATGGGTCGGCTCAACCGGGGAACGACCACGCTGTCACAGAAGACCAGCGTGATATAATAGCTTAATGCTGCTGTATTTCGTATGGTGAGTGTAGAGAACCGGAAAACCTTTTTACTGGAAACGAGGCATTCCATGTTAGTCCGCACGGGTGACAACACAGCTGCATTTGGTTTTGTAATCGAGGATAGATGTAGATGTCTATGGTAGCAGCATCCACTTACCATCAGGTGGACTGTGTGCTCGTTTGTCACCCTATTTTATTAAAAAAAGACATGGGAATGATGTGACCAGGATTTCCAAATTCAAAAGAGCCGTGACAGCTCAGGGGATAAGCGCTCGCTGTAATTTTCACAGTACGCGAGCAACCCGGGTTCGATCCCCGCCGGCACTTATGAAATTGTCAATTGCAATTTTATGTGCTGCTATACCACGTGTTTCGCGGTGAATGAAAACATCGTGAGGAAACCTGCATGTCTGAGAAATAAGAAAAAAATATTTCGAAGACATGTGAAGTTCACTGACACGCATTGAAGTAGCGCGGCGGCCATTACCTTGCCCTAAAACCCTTTCAGAAATGAGAGGAGTCTTGTGCCCAGCAGTAAGACCTATATAGGCTGTGACTTTAAGATCGAAAACTTTATTAATCAAAGTTTGTATAAAAAATAATTTACGGATGGTAATAGCCCCGGGAAATGCTACCGAGCTATTTCTAATTTGTTATGTGTTGGTAATTGTGTAAAATATGTGTTTGTAAGCTGTTTTTTTTTTTCAAAAAAGATGTCCCGCGGTTTTCTTGCTGATTCTTCCCAGGACAGAGTTGTTTTTCCTAATCCGTGGTACGAGTAAATAAAAGAAAAGAGTGACTAACAATGAGTATTATTTATAATCTATATTGAATATAAAAGTTTCGGTTTCTGCATGGAAACGCTAAAAACTTAATGAGGAAAGTGTGTGATCAAATTTATGCTACAAGTGTCAGCGACAGAGTCAGTGAGATGGAAATTTTGTGGTCACCTTTATTTGACCCATTGTCTATTTATCGCGCAACTTGGCGATAAATAGACAATGGGTCAAATTAAGGTAACCGTATCACGAACGTAGGTATAGTTTTTATAGGATAGAGTGACAAACGAGCAGACAGTCCACCTGATAGTAAATGGTTGCTGTGACCCATAGACATCTACATCTATCCTCGATTACGAATCAAAATGTAGATGCGTTGTAACCCGTGTGGACTAAGATGGAATGCCTCGTTTCCAGTAAAAAGGGTCTCCGGTTTTCTACACTCATCATACGAAACACAGCAGCATTAAGCTACTATTTTAAGCTGGTATTCTGTGAGAGCGTGGTCCTTCCCCGGTCGAGCCGACCCATTCGTGCTACAACTATACTACTAATATAGCTGCATCATGTCTCTACCACGTAAAAAATATTTGAGATTAGAATAAAATGATCTTGAGACAATATAGATTATTACATAATACTTAATTGAAAATCATTGTCAACAGACTTCAAAAAAGGTGGAGAGTCTCAACTCGACTTTATTTTTTATGTGTACTACCCCAGAATTGTTTTTCTAGGAGAACCAATATTAATGATTCTACTTATTCGAAACTTGGTGCTTCTAGCTGTAGTTTTTTGAGTTGTCCTTAATAATGCGTATTTAATTGACTAGACTATGTAGTCGAACATTGATGATGTTCTCATTTTATTTATATTGATGTTGTTTGTACAAAAATTTTAACTTTCCTACTTATTTTATTTACTATTGGTTCAAAAAATACCTACGTTCATGTAAAACTCAGAAATGAGGATATCCGCAGTAAAACCAGAGTGACCGACATAGCCCAACGGATTAGTAAGCTGAAGTGGCAATGGGCCGGCCATATAGCTCGAAGAACCGATAACCGATGGGGAAGAAAGGTTCTCAAGTGGCAGCCTCGTACCGGTAGGCATAGTGTAGCGCGACCCCCACTAAATGGAGTGACGACCTGGTAAGACATGCAGGAAGTCGATGGATGCAGGTGGCGCAGGACCGTACCTTGTGTCATTACTTGGGGGAGGCCTATGTTCAGCAGTGGACTTGTGAAGGTCTGTAATGATGACGATAATGATGTAAAACCCAGCAAGAAATCCAGCAGGATAATTTTAGAGAATATTTAGGATATTTTATTGTTTATAATAGAGATACGTGTGTCAGAACTTACTAAATTAAAAATCTTCTCAACGCTCCCATATCGGCCTACGGGTGTCGTGAGTGGCATAAGAAGAAAACTCAATCAGGAGATTGATAGCAGGACCTGAAGTAAAATTTTTTGAAAAATATAATCTTCTCGTCAAAATCATACCTTAAATACCACTTTTTTCATGGTAGCACACATCGGGAACTTTTGACTCAATCCAAAATGGCGTGACCAACGCCATAAATACGATAAAAAGATAAATTAGGAAACTATAAATACCTATTCTCTTTCAGATGTACAGGAGTCTATTAGTGCTGGTGCTGTTGGGACTGTGTCGTGGTCAGTTTGGACGTCCTAAGAACCAGCTACAAGAAACTGATTTCGGTGAGCTTATGCAGTGAAAACTTCTTTATAATTGTCGTGATTGTTGTGATTATCAACTCAATGAAACGATTAAGCGACACTAAAAAGAGACAACTATATACGTCTATAGGATTTAGCCTGCGAGAGAATGAGATAGAATATTACCTATCCATAATACATACAACCTTGTGAGTCAATCAATTTTTGTTAGATGAAACGACTTTGTCTATAGAATGAAATAGATGGCGCTATTACAAAGCAATTTTACTCGAAACAAAAGATTATTTTAATTTATTAAACTAAATTTAGGTCTACATGTTCAAAATTTAGAATTGTAGCATTTATATTGTTACGCGCTCCAGACAACGATACACTAGCGCCATCTAGTGTCAGGAACGAGAGCGAGGGGAGCATTAAGAAAATGACATCACAAATCGCTCAACTGACAGCGCCTAGTCGAAACTCGAACGCTCGATACCTTGCCCGTGTTTACTTGAACATTCTGGATATTTCTTTGCTGATTCAAATATATAGGCGCTGCAAGATGCGATCGAGGAGTAGTGTTGATTTGGCGAAACAAGCGAAGCTTCGGAGTGGAATTAAGTGAATTAGTGTGTTTAAATTATTAGTGTTTTAACTTTAATTGTGTAAAGTAAATTAAAGTGTTAATTTAGGTAATTTTATCGGCAATTTTTATTGTCACGAACCGCAAGCTCGTAACAACTGGTGTCAGAAGTGGGATAAAATCATGCCGATTTTACCTAAGGAGGAAACGGAGGGTGTCCGTACCCGAAGTCAACGCCAGCAGGAGACGGACCAACGAAGATCTGGTGGTGCAACGCCGCAGACGACGGAGGGCCAGCCACCTGCTGCAGGCCCGTCGGTAGCTCCTACATCTGCAGCACCTGACTTAGGTGCTCTGATGGTGATGCTGCAGGAGCAGGCTCGCCGACAGGAGGAGCAGGCTCGCCGACAGGAGGAGCAGGCTCGCCGACAGGAGGAGCAGGCTCGCCGACAGGAGGAGCAGGCCCGTCAGTTGAAAGAGCAGCTGCAAAGCGGACAAGAGGAACAGGCCCGCCGGCAGGAGGAACAGGCCCGCTGGCAGGAGGAACAGGCCCGTCGTTTAGAAGAGCAACTCCAACGCGATAAGGAAGAGCAGATGCTCCTCATGAAGGACCTTCACGCTATCTTCGGAAAAGAGATACGGGAGGTGAAGGATAAGGTTGCTCAACATGACAACCGCCTGTCGGAGGCCGAAACCCGAATCGACCAAGTAAACAATCGGGTTGACAACGTAATGGCTGACGTGAAGAAAACGCTGGACGACCTCAAACTTGGGGATGGAACAACAGCTCCCGTAGTAGCTACAACACCTTCGCTACGTGGATTCAAAGTGCCGCCGTTCGACGGTACCTCTTCCTGGTCAGCCTACAAGATCCAGTTCGAGGCTGTTATGAAGGCGAACGGCTGGAATGAAAGTCAGGCCATGACTGCTCTCACACTAGGCCTGCGCGACCAGGCCTTAACAGTTCTGGAAGCTCTCGGTGAGGAAGTGACTTATGAGCAACTCATTGAGGCATTGGAGGCGAGGTATGGCGACGCTCACCTGGAACACGTCTTTCGTGCGCAGCTTAAAGATCGTGTGCAGCGCATCAACGAAAACCTGCAGCAGTGGGCTCTAGAAGTGGAGAAACTGGTGCGAAAAGCATACCGGTCTGTACCTGCGCTCATTGAAGGGAACCTGGTGCAGACATTCATCGACGGCATCCGCGACCTGGAAGTCAGAGCTGCTGTGAGGCTCGGGCACCACGAGACGCTTAAGGACGCCTTGGCCCATGCACTGGAAGTGGAAGCCGTGCGGCAGGATCATCGTTCCCATCGCGTCAGGGAGGTTGCGGCAGCTACAGTTCGCGACCGCAACAAAGGATACAGCCCTAGGTGCTATGGCTGTGGGGAAAAAGGCCATCTTCGAATCAGCTGCCCTAAGCGAACCGTGGAAAGGAGAGTTGATCGATCTCGAGAGGGTAGTGCAGCTAACGACACTGCCTGGCGGCGACAGGATCATCGTTCACCTCACGCTAGGGAGGTTACAGCAGTTACGGTTCGCGACCACAATAAAAGATACAGCCCTAGGTGCTATGGCTGTGGGGAAAGGGGCCATCTTCGGTCCAGCTACCCTGAGCACACCCTACGAAGGGAAGGTGAACGGTCTCAGAAAGGAAGTGCGGCTAACAGCACCGCCCAGCAGCAGCAGGAATACGACTTTACTATCAGACACTGCAGCGGGAAATCTCACGGCAACGCAGATGCATTGTCAAGAAGACCTTGTCCTGAAGATTGCAACCATTGTAGTAGGCAAGAGAGTAAGGAGGTGGTATCCGTGAGGATGCTCAGGACAGACCACCTCAGCAACGGGTGGAAGGACAACCTACGACATGCACAGCAGGAAGATCCGGACATCAAGCCGATTCTGGGATGGATGAAGGCCCGTGCTACCAAGCCTAAGTGGAGGGACGTCTCAGCGATGAGTTCAACCACGAAAAGCTATTGGGCCCAATGGGACAGCTTGCTGATTCAGGATGGTGTCCTGTGCCGTAAATGGGACAATGGTCGAAGAGACAGCTGTCGTTTGCAAATGGTTGTCCCTAAAGCTAAAGTGCCGAACGTTCTAGAGTTGTGCCATAATGGTCGTTCAAGAGTCCATCTGGGAGTTAAACGAACTCTACTGAAGGTCCGAGAACAGTTTTACTGGGCCCATTATCGTGACGATGTCGAGGATTGGTGTCGTACATGTACAAGTTGTGCGGCCGAGCGGGGACCTCGGACACGTAGTAGAGGAGCACCAAAATTGTACAATGTTGGTGCACAACGGGATAGGACAGCCCTTGACATTGCGGAGCCATTACAGAAAGGCGCAAGAGGGACTCCTAAGATCGTCCATGTGAATCGCTTGGCGCGTTATTATGGGGCCGATAATGCTCGGGACGAGCATGTCTTAGGAGGGGGCAGTGTTACGCGCTCCAGACAACGATACACTAGCGCCATCTAGTGTCAGGAACGAGAGCGAGGGGAGCATTAAGAAAATGACATCACAAATCGCTCAACTGACAGCGCCTAGTCGAAACTCGAACGCTCGATACCTTGCCCGTGTTTACTTGAACATTCTGGATATTTCTTTGCTGATTCAAATATATAGGCGCTGCAAGATGCGATCGAGGAGTAGTGTTGATTTGGCGAAACAAGCGAAGCTTCGGAGTGGAATTAAGTGAATTAGTGTGTTTAAATTATTAGTGTTTTAACTTTAATTGTGTAAAGTAAATTAAAGTGTTAATTTAGGTAATTTTATCGGCAATTTTTATTGTCACGAACCTCAAGCTCGTAACAATATTATATTTAATGCCGCAGCCCGCAGTTGAAAATTATTTTATGGGATAAATCATTTACCGCTAAATTTATATTATGTGTATTTTATATTTCTCTCATTTGAAGGTTTCACTTCTACCGCGTGTGAACATCACACATGTTTTTTATTACTATTTCCCCTAAACTGAACTTTCGGACACAGCGCTCAGACTCAGCGTATAGACTAGCACCCACCGTCATCCACCATCTGCGCGGGATAAGATGTGTGCGCAAGCACCTGTGCACTCTGTCTTCAATCCACCAATGAAATATTTATTTGCAATTTTAACTGTTAATTCACCACATGGCCGGCGGTGATGGAAACATTACGAGAAAACCTTCATATCTGTAAATTATTTAAAAAAAATTATTATATAATTTAAAAAGACTTTCCTACACGCATTCCTTGCCCTGAAACCCTCTCAGAAATGAGAGAAGGCCTCCGCCCGACATTGAAATATTAGACTGTAACTTTATTTTTCAATTTGACTTTAAAAAAAATTTGAATTTACCTTTATGTTCCGATCTTACAAATAAACTGTTCAAATTTGATAATTCGCAAGTAGAGACTGTTAATACGTTTAAACTACTATAGGTATCAATATTGACATTCATCTTAATTGGAAAGCTCATATTGAATTCGTAAAATCTAAATTATCCAAGTTCACTTAGAAATGCAGCACCGGTACAGAGACAGCATTATCTGCGTACTATGCATATGTTAAGCCATGGTTACGATACGGAATCGTGCTATCGGGCAACATTACAATTATAAATGACCTATTAAGATGACACCGCGAAAAAATGCACCTCCTTTCATCGAATAGTATAGAACTATGACACCACTAACGAAACTGGAATTTTTATATAGATAAGTTCATGTCTTTATGTTGAATTTACTTGTTCAAAAACACGATTGTATGATTTTGACTCGATCATAATTACTTGCGAAAACACCTTTAAAATATCACTACAGTCGAAATTATAACGAAATTACTTAATCTACATGCTTGGGAATCGCTCAAATATATTCATAAAATCAACATTTGCAATTTACTTGCTCATTATTTTGATTCACGGAGCAATTATAAACGTTCATTTTCGATGTTTCGTCTTAATCATTAAAAATAATGTGTAAGAATTATTTCTATAATAGATAATACAGTAAGTTCCAAATCATACTTATTAAAATATGATCTGCTAACTTCAATATCTTTATATATTTTAGACATAATGTACATTAACATTCTATAATCATTTTTTTTTTCAAAATATAAGAAACATAAATAAGCGAAATAAACAACAGCTACTTTACTTACCTTCCAGAATAAAAATGATAAATTGCAGCCCATACTATTGGCAGTAAATTTTTTTACTAATTCTGAATACTCTGAATGTTAAAAATGTGTATGTGTGTGTGTGTGTGTGTCTTTCTCTATCGTCAACCGTATTCCTAAACTTTCACTCACCCTCCAAACAATATTTTTTCACATTTGAGGACGAGATTTTTTTACAAATTTATATGGAACAACCCCTGAAATCTTTGTATTATAACCTTAATGGATAAAAGACAATCATTAAAATCTACAACACCACAGCTTTTTCTGTAACCAGAGCGG